GTGCCGTGGTGTTTCTTGAACGGTGAATATGTGCGTGTTTTATGTTCGAGAGAATCGAGCTGGACAGCACGTGATGGGAACACCTTGGAGCCAGAGTCGAGGAGATCATAGGTGAGATCATTACGGTGAATGTAGGGAGGGGAGTAAGTTTTGTTCCAGTAGTCAAAAATCAAGTTGTTGATTCCGGTTTCAACAACAATTCCAGAACCATTGTAAGCTGTTTCTTCTGCTGGTGTGAGTTTGCCCGTCGGCTTGCTGGGGATGCGGCTCCGCGATAGAAACTGCATCGCCCTCCCAACATACGATCCTGGATCAACCGAACGGGCGCAGTCGTGGATAGATGCCAATAAGCGGCCGCGGCGGCATATTTGCCGCAACATCGTAAAGTCCAATTCCCCTGTGCACGAGTGGGATTTGAGGCAATAAGAAGTTAGGGAAGGAAACCCACACATATGCCCGTTGGTCTTGATTTTCTGCAGACTACCGTTGTGGGTTTCATAGAGAAATTCACCGAGTTTGACCAGGGGACCCCACCACTTCAATTGTGCGGCATTGTGGATTGCATAATGGTGGTTGGGACGCGTTGTAAGTCCAGGAAAAAGTGACTTCGAGGACTTCAAGTACTTGAGGTAGTGATCAAGGTATATATCGGCCTCTGTCGGTGAAGCTGTATAAGATAACACAATATGTGTTGCCGCGACCAGATTGTAGAAATTGTCGAGTAATTTCTCAGCAGCGGGGTCGGAGGAGTCGTGCCAAAGCTCTGGAATAATCAAGGGGAAGAAAATCGTCCACAGAACAAGCCAGGTGTCTGCTTTAAGCTTCCCGTGCGACTTCTCTCCCAAGTTGACAGGTGGGCGATCAATCCACGACGGTATCACAACTTGTGCAAGGCCAGCGTGAATTTTAGCCATGGCTGCTGCATCGAAAACCTTGTGGCGAGGTTTTTCAGCAGTGTAGATCTCTTCGTCGTCTGGAGTGTAGTCCATCAAATCGTCTTCGTCATTGTCTGGCGCTAGATCCGATTCGGAGCTCTCCTGGTTGTCGGGAATGAGTGAACGCGCTGACGGGAATCGCTGAAGATCAACGAGGGCATCGTGATGAACCACACTGTCGAGGTGGAGTGCTGCAACCTCAGCCTCCAAAATATCCTCGTCAATATCCATCATTTCGATATCCGACCCGGATCCATCGTCGTCATCACCGTTGGGGAGAAACCCCGCCGTATCTGAGCCTATGCCCCATTTAAGGCGCGTGTGATGCTGTAAGATGCCCTGCAACCAGTTATGCATTACACCGAGGACACCATGCTTAACAGGATCCCGATAAATCAGTCGGTTCAAGGATGACCCTCGGGACCCGTGCTCTTTGAAAATCAGTTTGCGTGCAGCCTTTGTCGGTGCCAGGAGCCAAGCTTTGGCCCACCGCAGGCATTCTGCGCCGTTGCGTAGTTCCCAGTTTGTGTGATCCAGACGATCGATCTCGCTGCGCTGAAGCTTGCAATAGGAACAGAAATTATTTGATCTGTGCCCTGCAAAGCCGAGCGCCTTTTTGAGGGCGAGGACATCACCGATTGCGGGGATAACAGCGACACGGTGGGTTTTCCCTGCACCCAGTTAGTGTGGTTTGTCACATGAATTATATGGTCATACCCTCTGGGTGGTTATGCGTGCAAATCTTTTGACCGTACCACAGGGCCTCCAGTTGGTCAACTACCGGGTCGGATACAGCACTTATGGTTGTGACGTCGGGTTCCTTTGGTGGGGGTGTGATCCCGACGAAGAAGGTATTCTCTTCGAGGTGCTGGAGCTCGTCAGGGAGATTGATGCAAAACATCATGATGGCGCCACACAAAGCCGACTTTCCGGCAATCTTGTTCGTGAATGGATTGAACCAATCGATGTAGTAGCTGAATACCAAGGTATTGGGCTCTGATGTGAACGAGCCAAGACTTTGCCATGCTGGACTGTCCCAAATCGAGGCCATCCTGTCGGGGTTGGGAGTATGCTGGTGCGACTTTGTGATGAGGTCCTCAATACCGGGCCGTGAGAGAAAATGGGAGAGCCAATTCGTAAAGTCCTGCGTGCTGTATAGATGAGCGGGGACAATTTTAGGTCCGCCGCGTGTCTGGCGTTCGGCCCACAAGGGAGTTCCACAGGGTCGAGACAAGCTTGATTCTCGACGAAGGCAGACCTGAGGGAGTTCCTTGAGAGAGTAGCGTCGTAGGCAGGTGGGGCAGCAGATGGATCGGTGAATAACGGGCTCAATTGACAGATGCTTCATCGCAGTACGGACATCAGCCGCGATCACGTATGCTGGCCCTGCCTCCGAGTCCAGGTTTCCAATCATCATGTTAAAGATAACGCCCAGGACTTTCAAGACACGATTACTGGCATCACGACTAAGGCCAGCTGCCAGATGGAGCCATGAGACAAGGGTGTATACGATGAACAGGAATCGTTCGCGAGTGCGCCGGGGAGTATCTGATAGGGCATGAGATAAACCTCAGAAAGGGCCATACAACACACCGGGTTGGGTATCATCGGATACTTTTGTCGACAATGCGATGGGGGCTGTGGGTACTTGAGCTTCGGGCTCCGTAGCTGGTGTAGCCGCCGAATCTTCCACCACATTATTGACTGGCTATAATACAATGTCAGTTCAGAAGGGGGATTCGATTTGAGAGACAAGACCTCAGCCCCCAGCAGATTCTGTTCTCTCATGCTCACATCCTCCCCTGAATGTCGTGTGCTGGTACTTCGGGAAACCCATTTGCCGTTATGCATCAGTCCGTCCTTCCCCTCCCATGTCTGACCCCTGCAACCGTGAGACCAGCATAGGCAGAGCCTGTAGCCTTTCTTGTTCTCCTTCAGATCCCCGACCATGGTCGAGAGCAAGTGTCTCCCGAGGTCGGAACTCGGGAACTGAGAGTGCCGACAGCCTAATTCCGTTCGATCATCATCCCGCGCTGCAGTTGATCCGGCTCGGCCATGAGTTTATAGGGTTTTGCATAAATCGTAGACAAAATGGTGAATTCTCTCGAAATAAGGATCGGACAAAAGCTTCAATGGGATTAATATTGCTAGTGACAACGTCACAATGGGAAAGACAAAGGCCGGTGGTAGATGACATGCTCAGTCACCTGCGAGGTGACCGGCCCGGTGACAGCGTCATGACAAACAGAAAATGACATCGCTTTGTCCGCCGTGTAACTGCCTCTTGGACAAGCTTCAAACCGGCTTAGCCAAATTCAATTTCAATCTGCCGCGTGCGCAAGGATGCGAATTGCAAATGTGTTCATCTCTTGAGCCCCACCAGCGAGTTCCGGTTGATAGCTATTGCCGTTGCTTGAGTGTCTGCTCGCGTCGCCGGTCGCGCATGGTAGGAGGAAGCAGAATCAATGTCAACACAGCCGCATCACGATCCCGAAACGTCTGACAGCCGAAACGGCGAGTCCGAAACGAGATAAGGGTTGAAGCAAAACGATGGTAGTTGGTAGATGGGAAGAGTTGAAGGCAGGATAGTTCCAGGGAGGGCCCAGAATAGCCATTCAAGCAAGAAAAAAAGGGTCTTGGATTTTCCATCCATGCCATTGCGAGGATTCGAACCTCCCATCACAAGATTCATTCTCATTCTCATTTCGTTTACTGGGTGAAGGCGCCTCAGGGTACCATGGCTTACTTCCTTTGCTTCATATCTGCTACACATGCAAGAAAACCCCACATGCAGACTCAAGTGCTTTTGGCCGAGGCTCAACTAGGGCATCAAACCGCCCGTTTTACGCCCACGGGCGTAATATTTACGGCGTAATTTCAGTACGCTACGCCTCAACCCGTACGTAAAACAATTTTATTGAGCGCTCGACGGGACGGGTCCCGTACGTACCGTCCGTTACGGCGTAATTTACGGGTCTATTGGAGCCTGTTGAAACCTGACCTTGTGGGACAAGTTTCAAGACAAAACTGTAGCTTGAACACGATAACATGTGTGTAGCACGTAAACCATCAGCTGAGACTCACTAGTGAAGGAGTTTTGAAGGAATCAGTGAATTGATACTGTGGTTCCACGGTCACGTGTGTGGTTGAATTTCGAGGTTCAAAGTTGAACTAGTTGAACTTTCGGGGATGCGGAGTAAATTCTGAGTTGGAAACGGACGGGGGATTGCGGGCATATACATATGAAGGCAAGGCCGAGCTCATGCAGCTGTTTCAACCGTCCCCGAGATGACCGAACAAGGTTGAACTTAGCGGTCGACCGTGGTTTTGATGTCAGAGCGTAATTCTCAGAGTAGTTGAGCTCGAGATAAGGAGCAAAGTCGACTCATGTTGGGGTGTTGTTCTTTCAACCCGTTTACCCGTAAACGGGCGGTTACGGGTACCCCGTATACGGGTGAACCCGGGGCGTACCCGTAACGTAAAAAATTAGACCAAGTGGGCCGACGGGACGGGGGCGTAAGCGTTTTTACGCCCCGTCGATCCGTAATTTTACGGGACGGTTTGATGTCCTAGGCTCGACTCTTGTTCTTGTCAACTTCGCCACGCAGAAAAATGGCAGAACAAGTGAATCAGAGCAAATATACTCAGGTTATAAGCCCAAAGACTCCCAGAGGCAAAAAACAAACAAGGAAGGAGGATTATCAAGATAAATAAAAGTGAACAAAAAAGCTAGCGGCGGCCCGGGGCATGATGCCGTCGGGCGGATTCGAACCTTCATAATGTTTACTTCCCATCAAATTGAATGAGGGCGCCTCAGGGCACAACGGCTTGCTTTCCTTCTTTTAGAGCTGTTGGCCACATGCAGAAGAAAAAAAATTAGCAAGTGTGAAGTCCAAGTGAAGTCTAAGTTGTGCTCCAAGTTTTATCCCGCTTGCAACTCCGATTCGACTTACTTCCACTTCATCACTCCTTCCGAATTCCAATCATGGCAACAAACCAAGTTAGATGAACATTTCGGTGCCTTGGGATGGGGAGGAAAAACAAAGTTCACTGTTTCCCACCCTATGCCGTCAGGAGGAATCGAACCTCCACCTCCCCATTCAACCACCGCATTCAATAATTGATGTGGGGCAGCCTCCGTGGCCCACAACGGCTTCATTCTTCTGATGCTCCTCCTCTTGGACTTCTGCTGGACAGACACATGAGAGGTGAAAGCTCTTTTGATCAACCAAGTTGAACTTCGAAGAACACCGTGACAAAAACAAAACATCTCAGTTGGGTGCAAGTAAGTATTGATAGCCAGGAAATTTTTGAATATCGGAAGCTGTGGTGAGGGATAAATAATGTTCTGACAAATTACATAATGCCATCTGGAGGGATCAAACCTCCTCCCTCATTGAATTCACTTAAACGCACAATACCGCCATTATTTGGGTGAGGGCACTACCCTTCTAGCTTCTCTGGCCATATGCAAAGAGGAACAGGTGCACCAGCCGGTGGAAATTGAATCCTTGACCGCTGGTTCAATAGGCTGCAGGTCCCAGGTCAGCTTGGCAACATACATAAAATAGAAGGACTGGTACAGAGACATTGAAGACCAAAATATAAAAAACCTCCGTCCGAAGCAGTCATGCCATCTCGAGGAATCGAACCTCCTCCCTCAATAAATTCGCAATGGTCAGTGTACCGATGAAACGGTGCACTGGAGTGCAGCCGTGAAATCGACCAGAACTGAGAGGCTAAATGAACGCAGCGAGTATAACTCAACTAAATACTCTAACCAAAACTCAAAACCAATCTACTCACAACTCCAATCTCAATACTTGTATGTGTGTGTGTTCGGGGAAGTAGGGTACCTATCACCCTTTGTGATGGTTGTTTCGCAGAGTAAGGTAGCGGCAAAGGCAGCACTTATAGTGGTAGCGGCAAGCGGCTTGATAGCAGGCTTTATCTTTGGCAAGAGCTTTGACTTAACCAATAGACCGAAAGGTCGAGGTTTTCCTTTATTCCCTCTAATGGAACTATTGACAGAGTAAAGCTCAATGTTGGCGGCCGAGAGCAAAGCTCAATCGGCGGCTAGAACCGTCAAACTGTTTACAAGCTGGAAGACGGCGGCAGCAACTGCCGAAGGGTGTTGGCTGGACAGCTGAGTGGCTATACGGGTAATCGGCTAAACCAGCTGACCTCAGAACTGCCTGATCCTTCCTGTGCCTTATGACGCAGGAACAGCAATAGCTGTTAAACTATGCGGGAGCTTACTCGGCCTGGCCAATTCTGGATTCCAGAAATGGTCTGGGACTGTGTAAAGTGACTCGACAGACACGTTCGTGGAGTGAGCTCAGCCAAATTTAGGGAATTGATGCACCAACGTGTCAACCCCGATATCAACAATACGACTACGCGGGTTCACAATAACCACCTCAGTATAGGGCTTTTTCACGAAGCGTTCTGGATATACCCCTAAAGTGTTTCGCGAAATGTTCTGGGTAGGGAAGAAAATGATTAAAAGGGCGGTATTCGAACCCAGGAGATCAAAACAGAGTAGATTACATCATCTGCAAATAAGGCAGCTGTAACCAACTGGGCCAAGAGAGAATATAGATACTATTGAATGATGGCGATAGACCAAGCATTCTCTAGGCTCAGAATCAGCTGTTTAGTGAAGAAACTAGGTTGCCCCGCTGACACAGGTTAGAGTTAGGGTGGTTAGGGTTTGGGTTAAGGTTTGGGTTTGGGTTAAGGTCCGGGTTAGGTTAGGGTTTGTTACAGTTAGGGTCCCTGGGATATTGTTGTTGAGTTTTTGGAGATTTGTTATTTGTTGTTGGAGGTAGTCATACAGTGCTATCAAGCGCACCAGAGGTAACAGCAATGATAGCCTAGTTGGTTAGCATGCTTGCTCTTCTACCCATCGCAGATTACTTAATCTGTGGCACTCTCTTCGTGGATTCAATCCTCCCTTTGCCACTCTTTATTCTGTGGTAAGTTCCTTTGGTTTGGCCTACCCAGAATGTTTCGCGGAACATCCTACGGCTGTATCCAAAACGTTTGCGAAACTGTAACTTAATGAGTTGCAATAACCCTGTTCCTGTACCAATATTATGCAAGCATTTCCTTCTTGGTTTCATATCTGTAGCAATAGTGTACTTTACCGTAAACAATCGGGCTCGTTGGGCTTTGACTTTTGTCTATCTAGTTTTAGCTAATTGTTACACATGTTTTGTCATGTAAAAAACAGTATATAAGTAGGTAGTCAGCCTCTGAAGAAGCCAGTGGATCATACCCTTCTTGGAGCACAGTATAACACATGCCTCTGTCCGGGAAGTTTCTGTACCCATTTGGTGTATTCACTGGTGTTGAGAGATACTCGTAGCCTACACCATTACTCGAGATATTAGTTTGTTGGATTATATTTGAAAGTAAAGTGATATTGTCAGCATCAGCAGCAGTGGCAGCATACAGTGTCAGCATTCAAGGAAATATCTCCTGCGGATTAAGTTCTGAGTAGGACAACTATTAAAGTCTCAAAGTCAATTGAGAATTGAGCAGCACCCAACTTGTGCTATTCCGAACCCGGTGTATATCACCAAAACACTCGTTTATAAACCCAACTCTTCCTGAGAACCAATTAGTGTTGCATTAGCACTCAATAGGTCCGAGAAAGTCAGTTGTCCAGTATAAGCTAGAACTTGTCCCACTCTCCTCTACTATGGCAACAGCCTTAATACTTTGGTTGAAATCCAATGGATGATCTTGTGAAAGGTTGTGAGATTTAGTGTTGATTTGTGTTGTGGTTTTTGCATTGTTTCGAGCATGAGCTTTTGGTTTGCCCAAGAGTTTGGTGTCCCGTTTCCAGTGCATGTCCCCAGTACAGATCACAAGTGCACCCTGGTCTCCTGTGCAGTGCCTGGCCCGCCGTATCAACGTTGTCTCACGGCGGGTCATCCTAGAACAGTAACATTGGTATTATATACATCTGTCATGTAAATTCATCTGTATGTACCCCACATACGGCCATCATTAAGCTCACAGTCTTTTCAAGAGTTAAGGTAAAAATTACAAGATTACATAAAGGAAACTATGAAGGTGTTTTACTGTTCTGTACTCGGTACATAACTTCAAGGGTCTGCATGGCATTTATAGTGTCTGGATGCTGATCCCCCAGGACTTTTCTCCGCTTCTTGAGCACCACACTCACAAGCCCCACTGCTCTGTCAAACTCTCCCCGACTAAAACAAGTAAGTGCAAGGTTGAACATTGTGTTCAAAGTCTGGACATGATCATCTCCTTGAATTTTGACCAATTTCTCCAGCACAGTGGCCTGGAGCTCCTTTGCTTTCTCAAAGTCTCTTAGTTTAAAGTATGTTGTTGCAAGACTGCCGATGGCACTCAAGGTCTCAGGGTGATCTTTACCCAGAAGCTTGGTACGCTTCTTGAGTACAGTGTCTGCAAACTCCTGGGCTTTTGTGAAATCTCCTAGGTTAGAATATGTTGCAACAAGATTCCCCATGGTCCTCAAGGTGTCAGGGTGATCTGTTCCCAGAAGCTTAGTCCGCTTCTCAAGCACTATGACCTGCAGGTCCTTGGCCTTCATAAAGTCTCCTAGGATAGAGTGTGTGACGGCAAGATTCCCCATGACCCTCAAGATGTCAGGGTGATCTTCACCTAGAAGCTTGGTGAACCTCTCAAGCACTAAGGCCTCGAGCTTCTTTGCTCCCTCAAAATCCCCTAGAGCAGAGTGTGACATAGCGAGATTCTTCATAGCCTTCAAGGTTTCAGGGTGATCTTCACCCCGAAGTGTGGTCTGCTTCTCAAGGACAATGAGCCTGAGCTCTTTGGCCTTCACAAAATCTCCTAGCTCAGAGTGTGTTGTAGCAAGATTCCCCATAGCAAATAAGGTGTCAGGGTGATCTTCGCCCAGACATGTGGTTCGCTTCTCAAGCACTGTGAGCTCCAGCCCCCTTGCTTGCTCAAAATGTCCTAGCTCAGAGTGTGTTGCAGCGAGATTCCCCATGGCAGTCAAGGTTTCAGGGTGGTCTTTGCCCAGAAGTGTGGACCGCTTCCTGAGTACAGTGACCTTGAGCTCCCTTGCTTTCTCAAAATTGCCTAGACCAGAATATGTTGCAGCAAGATTCCCCATGGCAGTCAAGGTTTCAGGGTGATCTTCACCCAGTAGTGTGGTCCGCTTTGTAAGCACTGTAACCTCAAGTGCCTTTGCTTTCTCAAAATCTCCTAGCTCAGAGTGTGTCACAGCCAGATTTGCCATGGCCTTCAAGGTTTCAGGGTGATCTTCATCCAGAAGCCTGATTCGTTTCTCAAGCACAGTGTCCTGGAACTGCTTTGCTTTTCCAAAATCTCCTAGTTTAAAGTATGTTGTTGCAAGACTGTGCATAGCGCTCAAAGTCTCAGGGTGATTCACACCTAGAAGTATGGTCCGCTTTTCGAGCACAGCAACCTTGAGCTCCTTTGCTTTCTCAAAATTTCCTAGGTCAGAATGTGTTGCAGCGAGATTCCCCATGGCAGTCAAGGTTTCAGGGTGATTTTCACCCAGAAGCTTGGTCTGTGCTCCAAGTACCAACACCTGCAACTTCTTTGCATTTGCAAAATCTCCCAAGTCAGAGTATGTGCTAGAGAGATTCCCCATAGCCCTCAAGGTGTCAGGGTGATCCTCGCCAAGAAGTTTGGTCCACCTTTCCAGCACTGTGACCTCAAGGTTTTCTGCCTTCTTGTATTCCCCCAGACGCCGATATGTAACTGCCAGTCGGTGCATAGCTTCCAGGCTAGCTAGATGATCTTCTCCAAAAACCAATTTGTATTTTTCAAGGGTCTGTTCCATGAGATTTTGTGCTTCCTTGAGTTTGCTTGCACCCAAGTATATGCCCCAAAATGCAGCTCTGAAATCAGGCCCCACACTGGCATTGAAAGGGGTCACTACAGCGACATGGGGCATCAATCTCAGTGAAGCCAGAATCATATCATGGTCTGGGATTTCTGTGATGGACATTCCAAGCAAGGACCTGCTGCACAAGCAAAACAATCCTTCATCAATTAGAGTACTCCGACTCCAGGCATGGACCAGTGGGTGAATAGAGAACACTTTTGAGGCCACATCAAAGGTGATTAATGAATAGGCTTTGATCTCATTTGTAACCTTCAA